TTGTGCTTTCCCTCCATGAAAGTAGAATGAAGGAGGTTGGACTATATGGCCTTTAGAGGTCCCTTCCAAATCTGTTGTTTTTGTTATTATTATCTATGGGTGGTCATCTGTCGTGGGTGCTTTGATTGTGCTTTTCATGCATGAAGGCAGAAGGGAGTTGGACTAGATGGCCCAAGGGGTCTCTCCCAGCTCGTTTTTGTTGTTGTTGTTGTTGTTGAGGCTGAATGCCAAGTTTGGTTTAATTCCATTTCTGTTTGAGTTCAGAATGCTCTTTAATGGCAGGGAAACTATATATCCCCAGAACTCCCAAAAGCCAAGGTCTATTTTCCCCAAACCTCTTTGGTATTTTCTGTTAGGCATGGCATTTCTGTATGCCAAGTTTGGTTTAATTCCATTTCTGTTTGAGTTCAGAATGCTCTTTGATGGCAGGGAAACTATATATCCCCAGAACTCCCAAAAGCCAAGGTCTATTTTCCCCAAACCTCTTTGGTATTTTCTGTTAGGCATGGGATTTCTGTATGCCAAGTTTGGTTTAATTCCATTTCTGTTTGAGTTCAGAATGCTCTTTAATGGCAGGGAAACTATATATCCCCAGAACTCCCAAAAGCCAAGGTCTATTTTCCCCAAACCTCTTTGGTATTTTCTGTTAGGCATGGGATTTCTGTATGCCAAGTTTGGTTTAATTCCATTTCTGTTTGAGTTCAGAATGCTCTTTGATGGCAGGGAAACTATATATCCCCAGAACTCCCAAAAGCCAAGGTCTATTTTCCCCAAACCTCTTTGGTATTTTCTGTTAGGCATGGGATTTCTGTATGCCAAGTTTGGTTTAATTCCATTTCTGTTTGAGTTCAGAATGCTCTTTGATGGCAGGGAAACTATACATTCCAGCAACCCCCAAATGCCAAGGTCTATTTTCCTCATGCCTCTCCAGTGTTTTCTGTTTGTCCTGGGTGTTCTGTATGCCATGTTTGGTTCAATTTCATTGTTGGAGTTCAGAATGCTCTTCGATGGCAGGGGATCTATACACCCCAGTAACTGCAACTCCCAAATGTCTTGATCTATTTTTCCCAAACTCCACCAGTGTTCAATTTTGGGCATACTGAATATTTGTGCCAAGTTTGGTCCAGATCCATAGTCATTTGGGTTCACAGTGCTCTCCGGATGTACATCTTCCATAAATCACTGTCAATTCCTCCCAATCCCCTCCATATTTTTTGTTGGTTATTGGGGTTCTGTGTGCCAAGTTTGGTCCAGGTCTGTAATTCGTGGGAGTCACAGTGGACTGTGGATGTCAGAGGTAAACCAACTGAAGGTACTGCAGATCCCACCATCCCTTGTCCATACTCCCACAAACATATTGTTTTTGTGATTAATCACTATTCTTTAATTATGTTCTATTTCTACCAATGAAAATCCATCCAGAATATCAGATATTTACATTACAATTCATAACAGTAGCAAAATTACAGTTATGAGTAGCAACGAAAATATGGTTGGGGGTCACCACAGCATGAGGAATTTTATTTAGGGGCCACGGCTTTAGAAAGGTTGAGAACCACTGGTCTAGAGTCACACTTTGAAAAAGTACCTGTTCTGACTTACAAACAAATTCAGCAAACCTAGAGAACGTATCTTGTTCATAACATGGGGACTGCCTGTACCTAAGACAAGAAATGATTTTGAATACCACAACTGTTCCAAAGTCACAATTCTCCCATGCAAATGGATGGTTACCGCAAACTTTAAAAAACCCAACAGTATAATTTAATGGGGTGTGTCTGTTTCTTTTATTTCATGGCTGTAAAATATTTGGCTGTCATAAATCTTTGCTTATGAAACAAATGTGATTCCTATATATTTTTTGTGAGGAATTGAAGGTATTGTACCTTATGCAGGTCTGTTTGTATCTAGCTATAATTCCTTAATTTGTGGTTAGCTCATCCAGGCTCCCAAGATTGTGAACAATAGTATTTTATGTACCGTATATCCACGAGTATAAGCTGAGTTTTTCAGACCTTTTTTAGGCTGAAAAAGCTCTCCTCAGCTTATACTTGAGTCAAGGTTATTTATCATTTTAAAGTTAAAGGTATTCCCCTGACATGAAGTCCAGTTATGTACGATTCTGGGGTGTGGTGCTCATCTCCATTTCTATGCCAAAGTTGTCCGTAGACACCTCCAAGGCTATGTGGCTGGCATGACTGCATGGAGCGTCGCTACCTTCCCGCTGGAGAGGGAATTTATTATTTTACTCTATTATTATTATTATTATTATTATTATTATTATTATTATTATATTATTATTATTATTATTTTAGTCTATTATTACATGTATTATTTTTCTCTATTATTTTTATTATTACATTTATTGTTTTACTCATTTATTGTTTTATTATGACATTTATTATTTTATTATATTATTATTACAATTATTATTTCAATCTATTATTATTACATTTATTATTTTTCTCTATTATTATCACATTAATTATTTGACTCTTATTATTGGAAGGATACGTGAGCACATTTACATTGAAGAAGATTAGAATAATCAGAGTTGGACAGTCTTATCTTAAATAACAGTTTTATGTAAATATTCAGAAACATTTAACTTACGGATGCCTCAATTAATGTAATTTTATTGGTTTCTATTTTTATTTTGAAATTTACCAGTAGCTGCTGCATTTCCCACCATCAGATTATACTCGAGTCAATACGTTTTCCCAGTTTTTTTGTAGTAAAATTACGTGCCTCGGCTTATATTCGGGTTGTCTTATACTCTAGTATATACTCAAGGATTCCTTAGAGGCGGTTTTGCAAGTTCCTTCCTTCAAATTACAATCCACAACACCTGATATTCATTGGCATTGTCTCATCCAAGTACTAACTGAGCTTGTTTAGCATCCAAGATCAGATGGGATCTGATGCCTTTGAGTTATCTAAATTGGTAGATTGTGTATCATTACATTAGTAGAATGTCTCAAACTGTTATATTCCAGCCCACTAGAAACTCCATTACACTGATCTACTGCAAATAGAAGTCTTCCTTTTCCCTTTATGTGACTGACCGAGTGCTAGTTGGCTCCCAGGCATTTCAGACAGGGGTCCCAGCCAACTCTATTTAGAGATGTCAGGAATTGGGCCTGGGATCTTTTGCATGCAAAACACGTGTTCTTTCCACTTGGAGCCGCTCTCGGGTTCCCAGCCTGCATTTCAAAAGGGCACAGAGAACAGAGGGAAAACTGGAAGAAGAGAAAGGTGGAATCACATGCTAACTCAGGAAGGTTACGAACGAAATAGGTTCTGTAGGTTTGTTCTTAAGCTGAATTTGTATGTAAGTTGAAACAGGTACTTTTCAACAAGTATAACTCGAGCAAAATATATACATATATTAGCTTTGGATAGCATAGGGTAGGGTTAACACCCTGGTGTGTTTGTTTTGCTTTACAGCAAGAAAGTCTCTACTTTTGTTACTGATGTAAAATCACTGTATAAACAACAGCTTTTTGTTCATTGTATATTACTCAATGCTGCATCATATAAGTTGGTTATAGGTTCAATATTGTATTATATAAGCTGAAAAAAAAACATTTACCTTTGTGATTTATGTACTACGACTTGTAGTGGATTTGTGTTTGTTTTGCTGTCTCTGCCCCTGTTCAGAAGATTTCACTTCACTTTTTGTCCCTGTGAGAATTGGATTTTGAAAAATGTGGCATGTTTTGGAATGAAGAATAGGTGATCAAGCTTCAGTGGAGACACCTTTTCCCCACAATAACAATTCTTTCAATAGTGAATTTCCCTTCTCTCACTTCCTGTTGTCTCAACCCTGTTCATAGCTTTAAGTCAGATGTAAGTTGAATGTTTATTATTATTATTATTATTATTATTATTATTATTATTATTATTATTTATACCCCACTTTAATTCCCAAAGGGGACGCAAAGCAACTTGACATAAAAGCATTAATATACAATTAAAATATATGAATATACAAACATTAAAACAGAATGTTCATAACTCAGGACTGCCTGTACTATTTGTTGGAATTCAACCCCACACTGCCCAAGTCGCAAGTCCTCAATGAGGAGCAGTTAGTTGGTTTAGTATAGACTAAGGGCTTCCCTTCCCCCATGTCTCCTGTATGACAGTTTGAATATATCTAATTTTCTCTCCTCTCTGTTTCTGCTCTCATTCTGATTGATTATTTTAAATTGGTCCTCTTCTACTGCAAGCCTTTTTGAATCTGACTTCTGTCTTCTTACACTTTAGTATGGAGAGTATGTGCTGTGTGCTTTGAGATCTCTCTCTGTTTGTGTGTCAGGGAATATGTAGAGATTGAGTTTTTCCCTCTCTTTGAAACCTGAGAAGAGAAAGGTGTTAGAGTAGCGCAGACCCAGTTCTTTACCTTGAAGAAATGTAGTTAGTTCTTTATTATTGTAAACTAGCTCTCCCCTGCCATGCGTTGCTGTGGTCCAGTCTGTGTATATGTGTTTTGTGTGTGTATATATTTGTGTATATGTGTATATATGTGGTTTTGCGCATGCTTTGTAATGTATTTTTGGGGGGGCTTTTAAAGTTTCTTTCGCTGCGTTTTTCAGTGTTTTTATGAGTGATGGTCACTTGTTGACCTGATAGGTGTGTTGTGTCCAAATTTGGTGTCAATTAGTCCAGTGGTTTTTGAGTTATGTTAATCCCACAAATGAACATGACATTTTTATTTATATAGATAAACCTTTTGTGATTATTAAGATTGCACTCTGCATGTTCGCCTCCTAACCTCTTAATTTTTTTTACAGCCACAACCAACAGCCTTTCACACTTTGCCAGCTGTGAGCTGTTGCTCAACTTTTTGTATCCTGTTTGTTTTGGGATGCTCTGCTATTTATTTTGGGTTGTTTTCCCTAACACTATTAACCAGGGCTAATCCTGCTTAGTTTGCAAGATCAGAAGGGATATGGTGCGTAAACACATATCCACATGCCATGTCCTCTGCAATCCATCCTCAAAATAATTTGAATATTTTTTTCCCCAACTTCTCTCCGCTAGGTTCTTCCATTTGTAATACTGGCTTCTTCGGTCTTCACGGGAGCAAGGCGCTTCTGTCATCATGGCGGAGGAAGATCTTATCTTTCACATCGAATGCCTCGACAACACCAAGTTAGCAAAGACTGTTCCTGGAAGTTATCATGATGCTGATAGCGAGGAGGAAGATAACTATTATATTTGCTCAATAACAGATGATCACGACCCTTCCTTGAACAAAGGAGGGAATGACAAAGTCAGCAATTACTACAGCAACTTGGTCAAAAACGAGCAGTTTTCATCCAGCGCTTCTCCTCGAAATTCTTTCCATTTCAAGGTAAGCATCCATCTCGGCTTAACCCTCTCTGACTTACACTGGCATGGCATGCAAGGCTGATGCTTTCTGAGCAGCTTTTCTCATACTAACTATTGCAGTGAACATTACAGCTCTGTTCTGTTTACCTAGACATGTTACAATCCTCTGGTCTACTTTTCATGTTTTGACCAAGTTTCTTTAGCATGCATATCTGCTGCATGTGGAAAAGATAATGCTTGGTAGATAGCATGACATGGGAAATGCGCACAAACACTAGGCAACTGAAGGAAATAGTGTTTCTTCTCTCTGTTGTCTATACAGTGCCCCTTTTATAGACTAGATCAGCAAGGGAGCATTTTGAGAAACAAGTAGAAGTGTTTATCCCTCTGTTCAATCCACATCACCTGAAAATGACCTGCTATGACCATCAACTAATATCATCCCCTTGGTTTATCAATTGTCTAATTCGAGGGTTCTATTTGATGGTACTATCCACTGGCATCTAGCAGGACCATTCTCAGAGCCAGATTGAGTTCTGGGTGTCCATATTATTGTAATTATAATGTTAGTAATTATAATTAATTACACAGCCCAACCCAAAAACATTTCTTTTCTTGGTGTCTTGGTATTTAGGCCTATTCCTGCGGTTATTTGGGCAACCATATCTAGTTTCATAGATATGGTTATCATGTTTTTCTATGGGTGTATGGCACATGGGGCCTCCGGTGGCGCAGTGGGTTAAACCGCTGTGCTGCTGAACTTGCTGATTGAAAGGTCGCAGGTTCGAATCCAGAGACCGGGATAAGCTCCCACTGTTAGCCCCAGCTTATGTCAGCCTAGCAATTTGAAAACATGCAAATGTGAGTGGATCAGTGGGAGATTAACGGCGCTCCATGCAATCATGCTGGCCACATGACCTTGGAGGTGTCTACGGACAATGCCAGCTCTTTGGCTTAGAAATGGAAATGAGCACTATCCCTCAAAGTTGGACATGACTACACTTAATATCAGGGGGAAACCTTTACCTTTTACTTATTTTTATTTATTTATTTAGGGCTTTTATATGGCATATGTTCTATATCCCAAAAACTAAAGTTGATAGGGCAGGTCAAATATCCCAGGAACAGGTCTAAAATTCAAGGCACCACAAGGTGTGTTGGCTATCATTATCAATATTGTAATACTATTAACCATGACTCCTTGTATCGTTGAAATGCAAAGATTGAGTCAAAGGCAGCATGCTGTGCGTGGAATTTGAGAGTTGTATCTGAGCAATAATTATTTCTTTTGACTGAGAAATGGAGAGGATCTTTGTCGATCCTAAATAAATTATGTATCAAGTGTTGGCCCAACTGGGTGCATAGTACATCTGTTTTGCTAAGAGAAAGCATATTGTTCAGTAGCCAATCTTGTGATATAAAAGTTGTTTGGTAAAACCATGTGGACAGTTGTGTGCAGCATTGCGGATTTTGTAGAGAAAAGTGATTCTTGTGATGTCATTGCAGCGTGACGTTCGTGCGTGATTCTGTTTACGTGATCATTTTTTTGCTTTGCTTGATTGTTTCTCATGTATGTCCTTTAGAATGGCACTCAGCGGCTTTCTAAGCATGGCTCTGTGGCTGACCGTAGCCTGGTAGGTCAAAAACAATGCAAGAGTATTTCTTATGATGTTCTTGTGGATATTTGTGCAAATTATCTCCCATTTCATGAAGTTGTAACCCTAATTTTGCCCCTCAAAATCAATAAAGGAGAATGTCAGATCAGTGAATCTAAGGCTTCTTCCACACAGCTGAATAAAATCCCATATTATCTGCTTTGAACTGGAATATATGGCAGCGTGGACTCAGATAACCCAGTTCAAAGCAGATATTGTGGGATTTTCTGCCTTGATATTCTGGGTTATAGAGCTGTATGGAAGGCCCCTGAGAGATTAAATGCAACCTTCTCCTTTATTTCTCAGTCCAATTAATTCTGGGTAAATAGGCATTTATTTGCAGCTACAAGTATAATAAAAAAATCATACCCTCACATTAAATGTCACATGTGCAATTGTCACTGGAGGTAATTTGCAAAGAATGTGGTCTTAAATTTTCTACATAGGAGTAACTCCTTCAATGATTTGTCTCCAGTTTGAAGTAGCATTGACTAAGATGTGACAAAATATTGAAAATTTGATTATTCATAAATTTGGTTAGTATTGCCTCTAGGAATTTCTTGGTCCTCCATTGTGACTCTGTGGTCAGTTTCTGGTCGAAGTTATGCTAGAGGACCAAGAGATTCCTAGACATGATGATGATAATAATAATAATTATTATTGTTATTATTATTTTATTTCTTACGCGCCTTCTCTAGGAATTTCTGGATCCTCTGGAACAAATCTGTGGTCAGTGTCCATCAAAAGTTGACCCTAGAGTTGAATTGGAGGACCCTGAGACTCCTGGAGAGGCCTTCTTTCCAGGTTTTCCTACTTTTACAAGGGTCTTACAACCCTAATTCAAAAAATATGGAGAGGTGACTGTACTTCTGCTTTTTATTTTCTTTATTAGAGATCAATAATATTTTTAAAACTAAACATTTCCTTGATGAGCATAAAATAAATGCTGAAAAAATAATTTAAAATTTGAAAAAAAAATGCTTACATATGTGAATATGTCACATTGGCATTCCCACCATAACAAGTTTTAATCCAGATGTAGTCAGACTTATTGAAATCAGTTGGCCTTAAAGTAATCATGATCAACATATTCCACTGATTTCAGTGAATCTGCTTGAAGTAAAGTTGAATTGGTCCTATAAAATACTGGAGCTGGCAATCGATTTGGAGTTGTAATATTCATCTGCATCTCTCATATACTAACCTCTCCTATGGCTGCTTGGTGGCAGAGCACTTTAAAGACTGTGTTTTAAAAGGCTTTTGCTTCTCGATGTTCTGTATCTCGTACATTTGGAGAGGGGGTATTTGTTTTTGCATGTTTCAGCTTGAACACATCATTTTCAAAGAATAGAAATGCAGTGAGAATGCATTTTTCCCTTTTAAAGCGATGTGATCATGCTGGAATAATGGCTGGGGCCTCAATAAAGGCACCAATGCCCTCCGATCTTTGAAGCAAAGCAGAGTCAGTCCTGGCTGACTGTATTTCAGAGGAAAGAACTAACAAAACCATCTCTGAAGATTCCTCTGAAATGCATGAGATCGCTGTAAAGTGGACAGGCGAGATAAAGGAACATATGCACAAGAATTCATGGCCAAATAAGGAGACACTTAGCTGAGAGCAACAGTTGAGGAAGTTCTCAGGAAAAGGAGCAGCTGACTCAGGAACATAACTCAAAATGTTGTAAAACATCTGCATTGAGATCTTGGCCTCACATTCATTGTTCTTCACTTTCGTGCTTTTTTTTGGACCAAGACCGTGCAAAACATCTTGCAGGGTCTACTTATATGAGATGCTCAGTTGCACTGAACTAAATTCTAGGGTTTGTGTTTCCTTGATACAAAATGCAACTGCAGAAGCTTTGGAATATAATAGACCAGTGCCACTGAAACCATTGGTATGTGAACCAAAGCAAGTCCCCAAACCACAGGTTGTCTGGAATTGAGAGTTTCCAGGAATGGAAGACCCAGTGGGCACCAATATGGCCCCAATTCCTGGCACAGTGGGAAAAAAGCAATTGGCAGCTGCATCAGGGAGCTTGAGGTGCACTGAGAAGAAAGAGAGAGGGGTAGGGCAGAATGATTTTTAACCATTGAACTTTACTGTTATATTTTTCCCTTCTTCATCTCTGAAGCAGTCAAGAAAGATTAGTTCAGAGTCAGTCCAGGGTCAAATCAACAGTCAGTAACCAATGCCAAGGGATAAGCAAGAGAGTAGACAATGAGTCGTTCCAAAATTTATAGGCCAAGAAATCCTAAACAATGTCCAAAGTAGAATCTGAAACCCAAAGTCCTAAATACAGTCCCATCACACAATGTCTCGAGATCACAGCTCCAACAAAGACGTTGCTACCAGCAACTGACTGCACCAAACCCCAGCTATTTATGCTGGTTTTGCAGCTGTTCCCAATTACTGGCCCTCTTTTCTGCCAAGCGGCTGGACCTACACACTTATATTCCTTCTCTCTGCAGCTCATTGCCCTCCAGCTTAGGAGCCTGCTCCTGCTCTGTAGCCTGAGAAGTGGTGAGTTCTGCACTCTCCAGCTGAATGTGCTCCTGCTCTGTGTTTGACACAGATGCTGGAAGAGGCAGTCCCTCTATCAGGGCTGGCCATGACATTCACTGTCATTTCCCCACAAGAACTTCTGTCATGTTTAACCTTGAAAACGAAGGGTAATTTCCTATACCTTTTCACTCACCATCAAATAGTCAAAATTTTTACCAGAAGAACAGTCATAGAATCCTAGAATCCTAGAAGTGGAAGAGATCTTGCCAAGAAGCAGGAAAATTGCATTCAAAACACCCCCGAAAGATGGCCATCCAGCCTCTGTTTAAAAGCCTCCAAAGAAGGAGCCTCCACCACACTCCAGGGCAGAGAGTTCCACGGCTGAACAGCTCTCTCACACAGTCAATAAGTTTTTCCTAATGTTCAGGTGGAATCTCCTTTCCTGTCATTTGAAGTCATTGCTTCATTGTGTCCTAGTCTCCTCTGCAGCCGAAAACAAGCTTGCTCCCTCCTCCCTATGACTTCCTATCACATAATGTCAACCCAGACATTACACACATTAAGTTCTGCTTTAGTTTACAGATCCCAAAGTAGCTTTTTATTCATTGTTTGGTTTTTCAACCATGGGAATAAAAACACATAGCTTCTGAAGGATAGCTCCTCTTTATTTTACCCTGCTCCAGAGTTCATAGCCGCAGAATATCAAAAAAGGGGATTATATGATAGGTTCTAATTTCCTATTTGAGGAGCCCTCTTCTTAGAAACTTCTGCTGCTTTCTAGTTATAGCTTGCCTAAGTTTCTCTATCACTTTGTCTGACTTCAGATTTTTTAGGAACCCATCAGACAAGGAACAACAGAATGGCTGTGCAGGACATTTAACTAGTGGCTGGGGTTACCAGAGTAAACATGAGTAAGCATTAAAGGTACCTCCTGTACCTTTAATGCTTGTTCAGAGAAAGGGAGTTCAGGAGGTTTTGCTTCGAACCTGATTGCTTGACAAACATCTCACCTGCTGAGATTCCCTCTTTTGCACAGCCATTAATGGCACAAGAATTTCTTCAGTTTCCCCTTTGGTATGCCTACTGGTAATCCTAGGAGCCATTATACGGAAAACACCCCGATTTAACAGTTTCTGCCATTTTCAGGAAGCCTGGAAGCATGCCATTGAGAAAGCCAAGCACATGCCTGACCCCTGGGCAGAATTTCACCTGGAGGAGATTGAAACCGAACATGCCACGCGTTACAGGTCTGTAGCTGGTTCTGATTCCAGTATTTATTTATTTATTTACAGTATTTATATTCCACTCTTCTCACCCAGAAGGGGACTCAAGGCGGATTGCAATGCACACATACACGACAAACATTCAATGCTGTTTTTAGGCGTACAAAACATACAGACAGATAAAGGTAATTCAGCATTTTTTTCCAACTTCCGCTCCTGGAGTTTGCTTGATTCTGACCACTATGATACCGAGCCTTTGATCATAGTGTTTCCTCCTTGCTCTTTGATCTCTAGCATTTTTATGGTGTCATAAATTAACCTCTCCACTTTAAGCAGTGCTTAATTTCTCTACTCACAGCTCAGCTCTTTTAAAATTGCTTAGGTGAACAGTAAGCTGGGCTATTAACAATTGGAAGCTCAAACCCGACTCGGGCTTCAAACTTGCCACCTTCCAGTCGGCAGTGATTTATTGCTGCTAGTGATTAACCAGCTGTTCTGTAGCCCGGCTAAATACAACGCTAAGTGTGTGGCGCTAAGTGACGCTAAGTATGTGCCTTTGGACTTAACAGGTATAGAATTCCATTCATATACGTTTTCTTTAAAAAAAAAACAAGCTGAGATTGATTGATTGATTCATTCATTCATTCATTCACTCACTCACTCTCTCACTCATTCATTCATTCATTCATTCATTCAGTTTATCCTGGTCTGGGATCCAAAGTAGTCTTGTAAAATATTTATTTTATGAAACATAAAAGAGCATCCAAACTGCAATGCTATTAAAAAGTATGTAAATTAAAAGCAGTTTAAAATACAATTAAAACATAACTGACAAAATGCAAGATAAGTCAATAGAGAGAGATTAAAATCCACCGTTTAGTTGGAGCTGGTCTTAGTGGTGCCGCAGGGGCAGAAATGAACAGGAAGTGATAGCAGGTTGCTGCAGACTTCTGATTGCTGTACAGACTGATTAAATGAAATGAGTGATAACCAGATGGCTTGTTTTAATTAGCAGTTTTGTTTATGACCTTTCTCTTCATGCCTGAATAGGGTTTTTTTCTAGCTTACTTGTTCTCCATGTTAGTAGTTGCTATGATACTTATTTATCGAATCAGGAGCAAACCAAATAGTTGTATTGTATTTTAAAGAAACACACACACAAAGTTTGCAAACTTGCCATTTTATTAAATGTCCTCTGACCAGTAGCTGGCCACTTGGAGTACCTCTGGTGTTACTGCAAGGAGGTCCTCCATTGTGCATGTGTCAGGGCTCAGGCTACATTGTAATAGGTGATCTGTGCTTTGCTCTTCTCCACGCTCTCATGTCGTAGACTCCACTTTGTAGCTCCATTTCTTAAGGTTGGCTCTGCATCTCATGGTGCCAGGGCTCAGTCTGTTCAGCTCCTTCCAAGTCACCCAGTTTCCTGTGTGTCCAAGAAGGAGTCTCTCATTGATTGAGGTTCTGGGTTTTAGCCTGCCACTTTTGGACTCTCGCTTGCTGAGGTGTTCCAGCGAGTGTCTCTGTAGATCTTAGAAACCTATTTATTGATTTAAGTCATTGGCGTGATGGCTGATATCCGAACAGGGGATGGGCCAGAAATGTCACTGTCTTGGTCCTTTCACTATTGGTTGCTACTCCCTGATGGATGCCAGGTGGTGTAATATTGTCTGAACAGTGTAATTTCTCCAGTGGTGTAGGGCGCAGACACCCCATGATAATGCGGCATGTCTAATTAAGAGGAGCATCTACTGTTTTAGTGTGGTGAGATGTGTTCCACACTGGGCATGCATACTCAGCAGAAGAGTAGCAAAGCGCAAGGGCAGATGTCTTCAATGTGTCTGGTTGTGAACCCAGGTTGTGCCAGTCAGCTTTCGTATGATATTCTAGTGCTCACTTTTTGCTTGATATTCAAGCAGTGCTTCTTGTAGGTCAGAACAGGTCCAGGGTAACTCCCAGGTATTTGGGTGGCGGTGAGCGGTGCAAGAATAAAGTGGGAATTGAATTGAAACTCGGTAAGAATAATAAGACATTTGAGACATGAAACACTTGCTTTCCTAATTACTCCGTTATGACTTAATTTGTACATGGACAGAAGCTTTCCAATAGGCAATGAAATCAAAAATCAAAAATATAAAGGATTATTTATTTATTTATATTTATTTACTTTGCTTATATACCGCTGTATCTCAAGCCCGAAGGCGACTCACAGCGGTTCACAAACAGTAAAAACAGTAGAAACAGCAGTGGTTCCATACAACATATAACAATTGACTTAACACATTATCCATAAATTACCAATAAGCAATTACAATGCACAATTATTACAAAAACTATCGTACCCAATCTTCTCATCATCCAAGCGTAGTCCAGGTTGG